ACTGAGCTACCTTCAATTCCAGTGGGATTATATCAACAAGACTAGTTTTTGGATATTGTCGGATATGTTTATTAAAGTAGCTCTTGACACCGAGACTCCACATAACTCTTCAGGTGGCTATTTTTCTCAGTCAGCTCGACTACCTTGGCCTTGAGTGTCTTAAGTTGGGCTTCTTTCATTGAGAGAGCTGTCGAAACTCTACTCTCGAGTGTTGTAAGCGAGAGTTCCTTTTAGAATAGTTAGTTTCAATCGTTTCATACGTTTCACTCACTTTTTCTTCAAATGCTTTTTTCAACTCGGCTTGGTGCCTTGCAGTTAGTTGACTTATTTTCGTCAAATGCTGTTGGGATTCTGCTTTGAGAATGACAATGATTGACTCTTGGGATTCCAGCTGTTCCTGAAATTCTCGGCCTTAAAAGAAAGGATGTTAATTTCGAGACCCTTACTTTTGTTTCACTTACGTATCGTAACTATCAAGTCATTTTCTCCAACTTTCAAGCGTTGCAGCTCAGATTTTTGATGGTTGATGAGCGTTTCCTTTAGATGGGCAGTCAGGCTTAATATGACGAAATGTGGGTTACCTTTGTGATACATTCATGTTGTGCATGAAGAAGCTGCTTTTGCATGTCCCGCTTTTGCTCTTCGAGAGTCTGAAGTGCTTGTTGGGCTTCAATAACTTTATCAAGCGCAATGTTGTGTTTCTCGCGAAGCTGCATATCGCGAAAACGTCAGACTATACGCATAACAGAAATATACGCATGACAGAAATTCCTTGTCTTTTCACCTGCTTTGCTTCTTCTGCCATTTCTCCCTTCAGCTTTTCGATTTGTGACTGATACCGTTTATGAATATCACCGGAAGTCGAACTGGTCTCGCATTCTATCCGCTGTACAATGAGCTCTAGTTCGTCATCACGTTCTTTGAGGAGACGGTCTTTGAGTTGTTTCTGATCGACCACGTTGAATTTTCGTCGAACGGAATCTGTGACCGTCACGCACCTCCCAAGCCCGAATTTCTGCATCCTGTTTCGCCATAAAGCGATCTTGCCATTGTTCTTTTTCAATATTCAGCTGTTCGCGGAGGCTTTGCATGTCCAGAACGTGTTTTCGAGCTTGCGCATCCAAGTGACTCGTTGCCTCAAATCGTTCCTTTTCCAGCATGCTTCGATACTGCTCGATGGCTTTCTTGTGCTCCATAAGGTCTGTGGCACGGGCTTGACGCGCCTCTTCCTCAATATAATGTTTTTGTTGCTCGAACTCGGAAACAAGTTTCCGCTTTTGCTGCTGAAACTGAAAATGCATGTTATCAATATTGCGAATTTAAGTTGCTGGGAGCGAGTACCTCCATTTCATCTCGCTCGAGTTGCTTTTGGTATCTTTGTCGCGCATATTCCCGCTCCTCTTCGCAAGCTTTTTGTCTTTCCGTCGTCATCTTTTCCCGAAGCTGTTCCTGAAACAGAATATAATGATTAGACCTATCGATGGTTGAACCAATCATTTGTTACTAACTAATTGTTGCAGCGACGACTCCATCATGTGCCGTTTCTCGCGAATGAGGTCCTCTTTATGCTTTTCTTCCACTTGCCTAAGTTGTATCTTGTGTTGCTGGATACAACTGCATTAGTTGATTGCTCCAGAGAATTCTCAACTCACCGCAATCATCCTTTGAATCTCCGGTTCCAAGCCTTTGACTGTTTGATCCTTAATGATTTTTGTTTTCTCTGCGATCCATTTGTCACGCTTTATCTTTTCACTTGCTTGCCACAATTCGCGTTGTTGTTTAACCTCTTTGATGTTTTGATCCTCTTGAAGCTTGATCTACGAACGTACACCGGCAATGAGAGGGACTGTTGACAAAAACACCGGATTGAACCTTTTCTTTGAAGGATTTTTCCATCGACTTCATGTCGTCTGAAAGGGTCTCGCATTTCTTTGCAAGCTCATTCTTTTCCGCCAGCAAATTGTCAATGAACGAAAGATGGCGCTTTACTACAGCTTCAAACTCCTTGCGTTGTGCTGAAAGACGCGTTTTCAGACTCTTCTTACTGTCAGCAAGCGTTGTTGATTAGACCGAGCATGCCATCAAAACATTATCCGTACTATTCATCTGCCTGCATTGCGTTGGTCTCTTTAAGCTCCAATATATTGCATTTCATTGTTTCAACGAGTGTGGACTTTTCATCGAGCTCTTGCTGTTGCGCCAACAACTTTGCCTTGACTTCATCAAATATAGCTAATGAAGGTTTCCTTATTGATATCCAGTGGTTTAGAAAAGAGAATTGTATACCTGGTTTAAACTCGGGTTCGACCGGGACAGGCTTGTTCACTGTTGATGGCGGTTGATGCGGCTTTAGAGGCCCAGGATCCTCAGCGGACTTCAAGAGGCTCAATATTCGATTGATTCGTTGGGATGCGTTGACGTCGTATTGAGCGAAATTGGCGTCGAAGTCCCCATGAGGGTTCGAAGCTTGTTTGGACGCGGCAGATGCCTGACTGAATATACAGAAGTTATGCGATGATTGTTTTAAACTGGATTACAAGAACTCACTAGTTTCCGTCGGTATCTTCGGCGGCTGGCGCAAGATCCAGCATCGCGCTCGCACTCATTTCGCGTAGCGCCTCCTGTGGAAAGGACTCATTTCGATGAGGTGATCATCGCTTCCAGGCTCGTACCTGTCGAATTTCCTCAGCAAGGGTCAACTTTGGCATCTGCTCCTTTGTTTGTTTTGGGGTTGGTTTAAATTGTGGAAAACATGAGCTTCCTTCGCAAGCCGTCTGTCATTTTTGCTGGCATTGGAGCTGTCGGTCTGGTGGCTGCGTCTCAATACTACAAGAGAGGTGATCGTCGCTAGCATCGCGCTTGGCCGCTGCTCGCTAACAACCATACGGCCTTGTCCCCAGAGCCAGCTCAGAGGGGCACTCTCGGACTGACCCCACTTCCAAAGGACACGTCCGTGGTATTTGTTCTCGGTGGTATGGCTATTCTGTACCGCCAGGCGAAAGGGGTTCTTATTCAAACACTTTGACAGGACCTGGCGCAGGCAAAGGAACGCAATGCTCCAACATTGTCAAAGACTACGGATTCGTTCACTTGTCGGGTGCGTGCGTATTAGTCCGGCGCCTGCATTCTGCTTACCAGGCGTTCTTGGTTATATTTATCTGTGACAGCGGGGGACTTGCTGCGTGAGGAACGCCAGAGGAAAGGCTCTCCATACGGCGAGCTCATCAACAACTACATCAAAGAGGGCCAGATTGTTCCCATGGAGATCACAATCAGCCTGTTGCATGCCGCCATGAAGGCTAACGGAGGCAATCGATTTCTTGTGGATGGATTCCCCCGAGCGATCGATCAGGGACAGAAGTTTGAGGAGGAGGTCGTGAAGGCGAAGATGGTCTTGTACTATGAGTGTCCCGAGGAGGAGATGCTGAAGCGTTTGATGCGCCGAGGTACGTGATTATGAGCTCTTCATCCAATCAACTTGAAACAATTGGGTCCTCATTTTCCAAATCAAAGGCGAGACTAGTGGTCGTGTTGATGATAATATTGAGTCTATCAAGAAGCGCTTCGTGACCTTCCGCGACACGTCGTATCCTGTGATTGAAATGTACAAGGACAAAGTGGAAAAGGTGAGACCCCTCTGCTTTTTCATCTCGCACGCACTGTTGCAGGCTTTTATAACGTTTACCCTCTTTTAGGTTTCGTGCATGAACACTGTGGAGGGCGTTTACAATGAAACCAAAAAGATCTTCGACAAGCACTTTCCTACAAAATAGATGTAACTCACCTTTGTTTAGTATTTGGAAATAAAGGAGAGAAAGGACGGGAACACAAAAAGCGATATGGAAACGTGGAAGCACACTTTGGATCATCTTGCCATTGAGCCCCTTGGCAACATTGCAAAGGCGGCGCTTTTGAGCGTGGCTGTTTACACGATAGGACATGTCGTCTCGTATCGCGGGTCAGACTCGTTGCGAATTTCTCAGGTGTGTGTGTGCGCTTTTGGGTGTGTGTTGAAGGCGTTGGAGGCTGACCTACAGCCATGATCTCTACTACCACGATATCTGCAACCATCATCTCTACAACTCTGATTCTTTTGCGTACATTGTTTCGCAATCGATCATCCGCAAGGCCTCCGCAATCACGTCGTTCGCGCGCCAGTTTGGATCTGCGATCGTGTCAACTTGTCTCGGCGTTGTTGTATTTTACACGGCCGCAGTCGCCTTTGGCGCACCCTTCTTTCAGTGCGTAACCAACTTTTGTTGTTGAGCGGGCAAATTGTATCCAACTGATTCAGACATACATGACATATAATCATGTATTCACAGGAATGCGGAAAAAACTTGGTGGTTGTCGGTCCTGTTGTCGTGCCTGTGCGTGTATCCAGCCGCGTTGAGTGTGAGCCGGCATGCCGAATGGGTCTCATGGAGCCATATTCTCGACTTGTTTGGCAACAGCGGTTCGCGTTCCTCTCAGTGAGACTCCATTGCTTTATTCTTTCTAAAAGCGATTCCTAATATTGAATTTGAATAGCGGGTGGGTGGTAAGATTGGCTCAAACGCGTCTGGTATGCACCTTGATTGGAGCGTGGATAGGATGTTTATTCTTGCCTATGGATTGGAATGTCAAGTGGAAGTATTACCCACTCCCAGTGGCAGTTGGAGCTGTCATGGGAGGCATGGTTGGATT